TTTACAAGTTTTTTTTTTCTTCTATGGAGACGTTTTGCTGGTTTACATTGTAGAAGCGGAAATATCAATAAGGTTATGACATCACCGGTTAATCTTACACACATGACGCCACACATGAATTACGTGAAACCATAGTTTATTACATTTACATAATATATTATGTTTATTTGCCATATATGCTTGTTATAGTTCTCTTATCCGTCAGTATCGCCCGCTCGTGCAACGGTTCATCACTAACTAATGTGTGTGTAAAATTGTTTTCTATCTGCCGTTTCCCGATGTGTATCACCAGGTTTCAGAATCATTCAAAGTGTAGGCTCCTTTTGTTGGACATGACCTCGGGTCGGCATTGTTAAATACCGTAACACCACACAGCTAATTGTATCACGACACCTGTTCATTCATCACACTGATACTCATCCAGTCTTGCCCAAGGGTGACCAAATTGTTTATTTAACACAACCTACTGCGTGTGTAGTGTCAAATACTTCAGATAACACAAATTCAGTATTCCAATTTCTCCCGGCAGCCGCGTAAACGAACACTAACATTTCTATTATCATTAAATAAAGCAATATCATCGATAATCAGCCTGTTTCATAAGCTACTCCATTTCAATTAGCGGTTCGTCATCCACCATTCATAACGAAGACTTAAATTATAGAACTATATATCCATATAATATATTATGTATGTATTACTGTTGATTCCAAAATTTCAAAGATTCATGACATTTCTCGTGTACCATTTCATAGATTACAATGAAGCTTTGTACATAGATTCTCTGGGATAATGCGCAGACCTCATCAGTTTTAAAATCCGTGCATATTAATTACCTATTTCACATACTGATTAGGCAACTTTAGGACTTTAACTTTTTCTTAAGAACCATTTGATAAAACCCTAAAACTTGATACATAGATGCTCTGGGATAATTCACAAACCTTATTGGTTATTGGCTGAAATTCATGCATATTAATTACGTAATTTGCATATAAGAACAATATATAATTAAGTCAGTGCTGATCTAATTTCTCTCTCGAGTTTTTGTGAAATGCGGGATATTTATTTATTTAAAATTGTGTTGTTTGTTTGTTTTGAAGCAGTGTGAACAAATTATATTGCTGATATGATGAAACCAAACACGCCAACAATTGCCAGTCGAGATTGGTAACATGTGGCAATAAACCGTTTATTGTGTGTGTGTTTATTATGTGTACTTCCAATGCACATAAATTCCTAATAGAGTACATACATTCCAAGGCAGCACTGACAACTCGTATGTTTATCAGCCTTTATATGGTCAAATCACTGCAAAATGACATGCAGCTGGCAAGATATTTATTTACGTTTGTGCTGGGATAATACATAAAGAAACACCATCTGATTGTTCTATTTTTTGATGTCATGGCATCATAATGTTCAGCTACAATGCATTTTATAACACTAGTATCTTGCCAGGTTTGAGTAGTGTGATCTAGACCAAGATCCGTAACAATAACAGCCTAATCACACAGACACTACAGAAAATTTGAATGTGATTTAGATGACATTTAAATAATGGATTTTGCCACATAGTACAGTATTAATTGTCCGCTAAACGAATTTTAAAATCAAAAACACATCATTGTCAGAATGTGAAACAATTTAATACACCGCGTTTTTGAAAATTTGGTTACAAATCGGGTAGGAGTTATCAGTTGGCGAGAGAATCACTTGTATTCCATATCCATAGTTGTTTTTATGGCAAATGGTAGAATAACCAGCCCTCGTATATTGTACCTTATATTACCCACAAGCTTTCGCAAAATGTGAGCTTGTATGGCAAATTAACGTTTATTGTAAACAAATATACCGATACTATAAAGATATAACGTTAAAAGTCACATAAACTGTCTATATCTATTTTTAATTTTAATAGAAATAGAACCATTTAGACGTCCGTTTATTAGACGATTTCTAGGTGTGCTAGGTTTCACACAGTACATTGATTGATATGTTTTGCAAAATAGTTCTTGTCACATCGATGTCCCAATGGATCAGAGATATTGTTTAAGTAGCTGGCTATGTCTCGTCTTTCTTGTTGTTCAATACTCGAGACTTCTACTTACCCTCTGTGTGAGAACTGTCGATTAAGAACACTCTCGCTGTCCGGCAGTCCCACAGTCCCGAAGGATTCCCGATTAATACAATCAGTTCTTTGGCAACTGAATGTGACTAATGTAGAACAACTCTTTACTGACTGACTGACTGACTGCATTTAAACAGTTACGTGCTAAAAGCTCTATAACGCACCGTGACATTTTAAGTTGGCCACAATCGAGTAGTTATGTCAAAGTCTGGCCGATAACAATTTTGTATATTCCCAAGTGGAATGTGATGTGCTAAAAATACGTTCCATAAATAATTACTAGATTGTACTAACCCTCGGCACAATATAAATATCTTGACAAAATATTGATGAAATTATATTTCTGACACCTATCAACATTTTCAAATGAGTTTATTCTGTAATCAAGAATACCAAAGGATGCATTCAACATTATAATTTTATTGCTAATAAGAATAAGCCCAGACATACAAGTTAAAGATTATTACATGATTTATACCATCGAAACGTCAGAATAAAACAAACATAGCTTATGAAATCCCGTATAGGTTTCATGTTTTATAACCACATAGTTTTTTTGTTACAAATAAAACTGCTCAAACCGCTGTGGAAAAAAATCTGCAATGACCTATTTTGAGTAAGACCTTGTTTTAATTTTAGTAGAAGCAGCGTAATCATATATGAATCCACAAA